CTGCTTTAGGCGTCAATCTGATCAGATGTCAGAAAGGAACTTCAATAATAAAGAACTCCTATAGATAATATGTCGTCTCTATTTTTGAATTCCCACTAATCTAATAGCAGCTAATAGTGATAATATCATCTATCGTTTCTCTACGAAAGGCATCAGACACCTATCGGAATAACTATGAAGTACTACATACTTATAACATAATCTGGGTAGATTTCTACTTGATCAGTATTGCTTAAATACAGATTCTACATTCCACGATCATTAGATTCGCAATAGATATCGCCACACGACTGAAATTTTATACCATTTTTCCATATTTGACATTGTCATAGGCAGAATACTGCTGTATCTACTATCTAGTCTGGTCTTGATGACAGTTGATTTTGGAGCTATAGGATTGAAACTGAGGAGAATGGTACCATATGCGATAATTTTTTTGATTATCCACATCTGAGCCTCATAGGGATTCAGCTAGATGGAATTATTTTATACTACCTAATAATAAATTGATGTTAACTTTTCAATGAAGATTTATACCTATTAGGAATTATGATATATCCAACTCGACGAGCTATAGTTACGTTTTGTGAAACACTATTCTATTTTACCTTAGCTTTTACATTTCATCATAGATTGTCATTATGGTGTTCTGATGATTTTTCATTCATTTGGAATGGAATGGTACTCATCAAAAATTCCAAAAACTCACTTGAAATATCTTGATTTTGGTTCTCATATTCCAAATATCTCAGAGACATTATGCTGGTGTTCTTTTCTCGAATGAGATCCACCGACTCAACTGATTATCATTTTATCACTGTTTCTGAAATCAGAATCTTCATAACCATTCATATAATCAATGACTCAACGTCAAATTTGTGTCAGACGGTTCGTACATGTTAGGCTATATTAGCAACATAGTAACGATACTTACAATAGGTACTTGTTTCTGAGTCATTTTTGGGTTTTCAATACAAGAATGGTACTACGTTTTCATACTAAGTGTTTTTCATAAAAAGATTCATATTACCAGTTACCTATAGATTTCCAATCAATTCATCGTAGGAATAATCAAATCATTTCATGACAGAGCCAAATCGATAATTCTTTCGACAGAAAATAGTTATTTTTGTATCTAGAGCGCGAAATGCTACTTTGGTGATCGAGATCTGATTTTTTTAACGAGGCGTAGCCGAGTTAAAAAAATAGTCGAGATGACCAAAGTATTTCGCGCTCGAGTTGCAAACAACATTTTTTCTACAAATGTCAAAAAATATAGTTCTAAAGTAAAAATATGCTTAGCTTGATATAAAAAATATTGTTGAACTGGCTTAAAAGGCCTCTCCCTATCCTCCCTAGGTACGTACGATGTTCCACGAACATAATAGGAATTTCCTTTCGTGCGCTCCAAGAGATAAAACAAAGTTATTGTTGAACATTCAGAAATAAATGATTTCGTGGATGTTTGCTCGATTGAAGATCATAAAGTTGAAATATGAATATCTCATATATTTTACATAACAATGCGCGAAGTAGGTACTTCGCGCACTGTTTTACTTCGCGCATTGTTTTGTGCAAGGTATCATGGTAACGTAGGAAACTGAAAAAAGTTCCACTTCGCAATTTGTTATCAATGCGCGAACCTTGTCATTTTTTGACGTTTGTAGAAAAAAATTGTTATTTCCTCAACTCCTATTCAAACAAGTTCATTGATACCCGATACACTCAATTAAAAACAAACAGAATGCACCACAACAAAAACAACCATCAATAAGAATAACGCAAATGTAGTTCCTTACATTCTTGCCAAATCTGAACACATGAAACATGTTGGTGATAAGTTTTTTTTGGGATTTTGTCTCCTCGTTTTTATAAAATAAAAATATGCGTATTATCAGATGATTTGCCCCCAAATGTCACTGCGTTTAACAAATTTTTTTATCAGGGAGCCTAGAAGAAAAATCCAGTAGCTTGTCAGTGACAATTTGTTTGGAAAAATGTTTGAAGTATATACAGTGTCACCCACTTCTAATGGAACCACCCCTGTATCTTACGTAATCGTTGGGTAAGGATCCTGAAATTTGCTGGAGCGAGAGATATACCAAAAATGCACTCTATGACCAAGTGAGGTCATCTTCAGTGATATACACTGCTCGCCAACAGCCATGAAACCACCCCAATTTCCGGAAAATGATATTAGGAGTCAAAATAGGTTGAAAATCACGTCGGATTCGGAATCAGGACGCCCAAGTTACTAACTATTCAAAGTTTTCCTAGAAGATTTCCAGTTCAGTAAAATTAAAATTTGTCTCACTTCTCATGGAAGCACCCCCGTATCTCACGTAATTATTGAGGTAGGGTTCTGAAATTTGCCGGAGGAAGAGAAAGTCCAAAGATAAAGTCAATTACGTGAGATACGGGGGTGTTTCCATAAAAAATGCGACAAAATTTCATTTTTCCGAACTGAAAATTTTCCAGGAAAAATTTGAATAGTCAGTAAATTGGGCGGCCTGATTCCAAATCTGAAGTGATTTTCGACCTATTTTGACTCCTAATATCATTTTCCGGAAATTGGGGTAGTTTCATGGCTGTTGGCGAGCAGTGTATATCACTGAAGATGACCCCCACTTGGTCATAGAGTGCATTTTTGGTATATCTCTCGCTCCAGCAAATTTCAGGATCCTTACCCAACGATTACGTAAGATACAGGGGTGGTTCCATTAGAAGTGGGTCAAGGGTCACACTGTATAGTATACATATACAGGGTGTTTATTAATGACAGGATAATATACAAGGAGGCGATTTTTGGACCCATTTTGAGAATAAAACTTCATATGAACGTATGTCGTAAACGTCCTAACTTTTGAGATACAGGGTATCAAAGTTGAAAATATGCATAGATTCTTTTTTGTCCACCCTGTATAACTTTTCGTGATGAAAAAATTCAGTCTGCTTTGTGACTCAAACGGTGCAGAAATTTCGAAATGTTACATACTGTGGTTATCTAGTAATTGATGTCCTGAATGAAGTACCTCAGCTTTGCATTTTCATCAAAATTTGAAGTCTGGTCTCGTTTTTCCGTTTTTTCTCGAAAACAGGGCGTTCTATCGAGTATATAAGCAGTCCTTCTTGCCGTAGGAAAATAGTTTTTTTCTATCGCTTGGAGCGCACGAAAGGGAATCCCTATAATGTTCAAAGAACATCGTGCGTTCCTAGGGAGGATAGGGATAGGAGGTAGCTATTGGAATTTTTTTTGAACTTCTGGAGATTATATGTTGTTGGGAATACTTCCACAGGCAATGAATTCCAGAGCCTAGCCGTTCTATGGATGAAGGAGTTTTGATAAAGTGCTGTTCGACATCTTCCGAGGTTGACAACGGAAGGATGTGCTGAGTGGGCTTGTCTATTTATTATACAAGGCAAAAAAGTAGTAGATTTCAGCTCCAGGTTGTGTTGTCTCTCGACGCGTAGCGGAGGTAGCCAAAAAACCGTGAGCTATAACCTAATATTATTCCCGTGTATAATACACTATTTTATTCTGTGACAAAAGGAAGAACGAATCGATATTAAGAAGATATTACATTAATCTCATTCTTTTGAAGTAATCAAATATCTGATATCACTTCTGTCAGTCTAATTCTGTGATTTGATTCAAAAAAATTGCGAATTTAGTGGTTGTTTAGTAATATACGTAACCGCGAAGTCGAATGGAAGATATAAAAGAACTTGCAGTTCTTTCTCGGAGACGGTATTATTGACTCATTTTTCTGAACTATAGCACAACAAAAGTCATCAATAGTGTATATATGTGATATATATCCGGGAAAAAAATTCTCACTCAAAGTAATTTATGAAAAGTGATATTTGATAACCTGCCAACAGAGATGAAATGCCAAACTTTTTTCCCGTCACAGAAAAAAAGTTATTTATAAAATAGTGCATTATGCATCAAGGGACAGAAATGTTAGATGTTTTCCAAGATGCGATTTGTATCTCAAAGGCGAAGCCCGAGAGATACAAAGCACCGAGGCAAAAATTGGCATTCTGTCCTGAGGTATATAATTATACTGTTTTGTACACTGGCGAAAACACAAAAATTGAGGATGAATAAAAATTTGGTCGCTTCAAAGAAGAGTGTTCCGAAGAGAAAGCGCAGAGCTATGCGGAAAATGTAAAGTTGGTATAATCTCCCTAGGGAGGAAATATGTCACATTATCTCCCTAGGCAATAATTCGAGACTTTTGCCCCTCTTTTGTTACCAGAGAAACTAACTTCTACTCACGCCGGCGTAAAAATTGACATTTTGAAATCTGTTAACAGAGATGAAATGTCAAACTGTTTTCCCGTCATAGAAAAATAGTATATTGTGCAACAAGTGGGGAAAGTTCAACTCAAGTACTTTTCCTCACATGTTGCACACTATACTTTTTCTACATCTGCACCTATCCAAAGAATTCAAGTAATGTAACTAATTGGTATTCATTTCATAATGTGGCACTATGCCACATTGAATATTGTGACCAAAGAGTAGACGCCTTTCCTAGTCCCTCAAAGTATTTAAAAAAAGTATACTTTCCGTAAAAGATTTTATTTCTGTATTTTTTTTAGATTCCATGAATTTTTTGTATTATCTCTGTCTCTGGCGGTGTATTCATCAAAATCGTCACATCTCGGTATATACATCATATAATTTATTATGAATTGTTGGAATAATATCTGATGGACACTGCGATTTCTATCAAAAGCACTAATGAGAACTACCCTAGAGGATTTAAAAAACTTCTTCTGACAGTTGTGACAACTATTCAAAGCTGATCACCAGCAAATTAAATTTTCGTCGATTTTGTTGATTCTCCATGGAATTGTATGTGGTGTTGGCAAAGTGCCGAGAGAAAAAATATTTCTCACAGTATGGGCAATACATGGTTTTGAAGCTAAGTAAGCTATGAGAAATGCGCTACTTTTCATAGCAGTAGTAGAAAAATAATATTTTCTCATACCTGGCATCAAATAGAATTTGGTAGGTTCTCTCCTCAATAGAGAAATATATTTCTCAACATCTTCTTTCACTATCAACATGATTTCGCTGATTCCGCACTGTCCTTATCTGCACTAAGTCTAACACTATAAAAACCAGAAAACGCAAAGTTCTGCACTAATTTGGGTCAAGAATTGTATACGGATGTTCCAAGTAGCACAGGTTCAACCAAAGTCATTCAATATTTTTTCGTGTACAATCAGAGATTATACATTCCCCAATCTCTGGTACATTGATCATCATTCGAATGACCTTTCATTATCAGTTGAATATGTTAGCTTGATATTATTTTGTGAATATTGAATAAAATGATCAAAACATGAGTTATAATTATATCATCTTCTTATCATTTATGTTCCACATTCTCCATCTATCTACCTATATATAGGGTTTACAACTAAAAAACTTCCAGTCATCAGACATTCTTCCGGGTGATGGTAGATTCGGTCTCAGCTGGTAACAAAATAAATTAAGATTTTTATATATACCCTTTTATCGGTGAGTGGATTCGGTCCCAACCATGTCATTTGCTGAGGGTTTTACAATAATTGCCTGCATAATCGACTTTTGAAAAATGGCGGCTGAAATATCCCAGATACAGCGTGTGTCCCGATGGTTTTTTGTTTTCTATATATTCATCAACATGTGTACCGAATTTTATTCTGGTAGTCAGAATAGCAATATTCTTGTGCTAACATAACGATATGCCCTTCCTTTTAGTGTTGCCGTCTAGACTTATACATTCTAGACTCTTGTCTTGTCTTGTCTAGGTGGCCAGGTAGCCGTGCGGACAGAGTGTCTATATTCTAATTCGCATTCGCTTGCCGGTCGTGGGTTCGATCCCCGTCGACTGCAGAAATTTTTCTGATGGCCCAAGAAAGTGTTTGGGATCACACGTTAAAAGGTAAGGCCCCCGTCATTCCTTGCTCGCACAAGACTTTCGAAGACTTTTGAGGGTTGCTCGTAAGGGGGCAACCGAATGACGGATAGAACAAATTTTAGAACAAATTTTTTTTTTTAGAATATCAAGACAAGATCATCAATATGTCTTGTCTAGAATATCAAGACAAGATCATCAATATGTCTTGTCTAGAATATCAAGACAAGATCATCAATATGTCTTGTCTAGAATATCAAGACAAGATCATCAATATGTCTTGTCTAGATTATCTAGACAAGACAAGACTTTTTATTTTCCATACAAAAACTTTTATTCAAAACTGTTGATTATTTTCAAATCTATATTACAAATACGTCGTTTCGCTGGCGCGGCTATGATTTGTTTTGATTGGTTCCCAGAGAGCGGGAGTTTGCATGCACTTGACTGTTTTTACGCAATTTGAGCTAAGCGTTATATCTAGAGTCTTGAATAATAATCTAGACTTTCGTTATCTAGACAAGACCGCACTTAGCTTATTTAATCAAGACTTACGCGTATACAACTCTTGTCTTGAAATTTCAAGACAAGACAAGAGTAGGTAAACTCTTGTCTTGTCTTGTCTAGATGGCAACACTACTTCCTTTATATTTGTCAAAAATGCATTGCGGGATTATAAAAACACGATTGTTCACAGTAAAAATTTTTATTTTCAACATTTTGAAAAAATAAAATGGTTTTCATTACATAATACAGCTAATGATTCAGCTAATGAAGATGAAGAGAGAACAAATGATAGTTAAATCTGATGTTTCATTCGAAATTCAAGTTGAAACTGGAAAATGATATAAATCAGGAAAAATTGCTCAATGAAAATATTTCTCATACAGAGATTCCTCAATTTGATTGAAAGATTATCAAGAAGATATCACCATATATTATAATCGAGGAATAAATGATCAAGTTCATGACAAGTTCCTTATGAATACAAAAAAGACAGTTCACATAGTAGTTTTGAAAAAATCAACAATATTACGATTAGTTTCGAATTAACATTTATCATGAAGTCTCATGCCATAATAATAACCATATAACATATTATGTGTGTGGAATGCTCGATTTCTAACTGGATCTGAAACACGCATTACCTTTCAACATCTATATTATTTATAATTATTTACAGTCTTGGTATAACCTTAATATACAACAAATATATATTCATGCCTGGAAACAAAGAACGCAGCAACATCAGAATTTCAACACTATCAACATTAATTTAAATGGCTTGGCCAGCTTTTCAATAACTGTATGTAACTGCCATGACTTTATGTCAAACAAACTATTATAGTTATTTTCGTGATCCCATACTGTTATTTTCACCAAACGGTATTCAGATGACAATTGAAAAGTTGATGTTAACAACTTTCGTCCGTTAACCCTTGATTACTCGCGCTAATTTATTTATTTAATTTTCGTATAGAAATACATTCCTAACATTTTGTACAGGTGAGAATTTTTTTAAATTAATAATAACTATAGTTGTACACCTAGGTCCAAGGACCTGTATGTGTACAGATCAATCTATATCATTATCATTATTACTGTTTGTGACGAAGTATAGTACAGATAATATGATAGTAATAGTGAATATAGTAACATATTGTTTAGTAGAGATCAATTAACATCGAGTTATTAATCAATACAATTTTGAAGAGACATATAAATACCTAGAAAGCAATTTGAATTTCGAACAAATTCTTCAAAGCATAACTATATACATACATTAGATATACAAATTCTTTTGAACATAGTAATTTACAGATTTTATAGTGATTATAGGATGTACAAATATACATTTTGGTTTTTACCTATATACTGCCTAGATTTTTTTCGGAAGGTTCTAAGGTTGTTGATTTTTTTAATATTTGCTGGTAGGGAATTGATTATTTTAGGAGCTATTGACGTGATAAACCTCTGGTTAGCATCTTTTTGACAAAAGGGAATTATCAATCTATCATTAACTTTTGACCGTGTTTCATGATTATGTGTAGGACTTCTTCTCAAATGGGGATGTTTGTAGAGGAATATGCAGCATGTGTGATAATACAGTGAGCGTATATTCAGAAAATCTTCATTGTATAGTGAGCTTGTAGGATATAATCTAGGTTTTCGGAGTATTATTTTAATGATGTAATTCTGAAAAACAGTCATGGGTTGCAAGGCATTATTATACAGACCACCCCACACAACAATACCATACCTTAGGATAGATTCAATCAGTGATTTATAGAGAGCGATTAATAATTTTTTATTCAGAAATTTTCGTAGTTCGTAGTAATTAATTCGAACTTTCTCCCGCGCGGTGTATTTTGTACACCACCATAAATTTGACTTGTTTTTAGGTGGAACAAAAACGTATGTTTTCCTAACCCCGCACAAGTTTCGACTTATGGGGCGTTGGATCCAGGGTCCAACGAGGTAATGCAATTAAGAAAAAAGTCACTCTGTTTTTAGTGCGTCCACATGATACACAACTAACGTGTTGTATACGAATATTGAATACTTAGATAATTTACCCTATTTCCCACGCAGTGTATTGTATTCTAGGCACCAACGGGCACCAACGTGACAACGCCTCAAAATTTACGTACAAACACACACACAAAACTGATCTTTCACATCCCAGACATGTAAGACATAGGTCAGGTAGGAGTCTAGAGCCACAAAAAAAATTCTACGTTCGATGGTAGCAAGAAATTTGGCGCTGGTGTACAAAATACACCAGCGCGAGTAATTAAGGGTTAAGATTCCTTTATGGCCGGTGGCCTCTAACTGAAGGTTGGAAATTGTAAACCGAGGTACAACCTGAAATTATAACAACAGAATCCTTTTTGTAATCCGGCTGAATGATCACATCTTGATTCCGAGGAAAGGAAACCACGTACCTACCTAGTATTTCCACAGAAAAATCACAACATCGTGTTGATATGGAAAAGTTAACGGCCGGCTGATAATATTAATCTATCAAGTGTAACCTGAATACCGTTAAACCAAAATAACAGTGTGGGATTACCGAAATATTTTATTTCTTGTATTTCAACGCAGTCAAGTGAATAGATTCTCTGAAGATATGGAAGTTTCTACAATGAATCACTGAGATGAATTAGAAATATTTCAAAATATTATATGATTAGTCGAACAATTATCCCTTGATGAAACATTTATTGTGCTTTTCTTAGACCAGAACTTTCCAGGATTTCAGTACATTTTTCATGTTATATTAGCAGTGTTCCTTCATACATGGATGATACCCTCGGTGATACCTATATTTATTTTAGATAGATTATGAATTGACTGACGTATATTTCATCATCATATCGTGAGTATTCGCACCAATCTGATTTCAAACTGTCTAGATAGTTGAATTATATGTGGAATGTCTCAAGTATCTACACATGAATGGTTATATTTTCTAGATGTTGAACTGTCTTAACATTGAATTGGCAGTCAAATTTTCCCAATATCAATGGGCACAGTGACAATGAAAAACATGTATATACAATTATAATAACTCAAGAACAATAATAATGACGAGAACAGTATTGTCAGATATATATCCTATAACTAATAGATCTCTACGTTTAGGTAACACAAAGATGTTACCTATATATATACGTGAACGTCGAAATATTTCACATTCATATACATGGAAGTCATCATGGCCGCTATTTTCGAATGTACAAACATCACAGTAGTATACACTCGTCGGCAAAAAAAATTGTTAAAAAGATCGCGCTGTTATAACTTGTCAAATTCTTGCCTAACTTCTGTGGAATTTCTTCTTCACGAAGGTGATTAATTCTGGAGTTGATTCGAAAGTTGTCCTATAGGTACTGAATGATTGTTGATGAAAATTGTCTCAAAAAGAAGCAACTGACGTGAATGAAAATTCATTTTATTGAAAAGGGATGAGAGGGGAACACACTTCAATCCAAAATTTGATGGAGCGGAAGGTTATAGAATGGTTCTGAATTATTGCTAATAAAAAAATCCATATTTTCTAAAAACTCTCGAATCTTCCTTCGAGAAGAATATATTGACGGAAATCAAAAACCATTGTTTTGAAAAAGGATCACACATCAATCCAAAACATAATGAAGCTGAGTGTTCAACCATTTACCTTAACCTTTGCCACAGACCGTTAACAAATTGAGAGTGGAAGAATGACTCTTGTGTTTCACTGTATAATGAATAAGTCATCAGCTTTTTAGGGAATCAAAATTCTCAAAGATAAATCTACAATTTGGTCAAAACTTCAGCAGAATTGGACAAGTATCAAAAAATTACAGGGCGATCATTTTGGCATAGTTTTTTCGGTCCTTTTTTTTTGCTGGTGGGTGTACATTGAGGACCCTCTTTTCCCCTTTCTTTCAGTCGAACAAACCTATTCTATCAAATCATCTATTGTTTCAATAATGAAGAAGAATATCAGATAGCTCTAATCGATAAAAGGGTTTTTTTTATCGAGAAGTTTAATTCATTTATACCCATTACTTGGAAGTGCAATAATATTTTCCTACGACCACCTATGAAAAAAGCACACAAAACATTGATTCGTTATTGGGAAAGTGACTCGTTTCACTATGACAACATATAATAGTTAGAAAGTTCGAAAGTAAAACTCACATGGGTGGAAATATTCGAAAATCGCACAGTAACAGGGTCTATAGATTATGATGTACCAATGAATGATTATTATGCTGAATTATGGTAAGTTAAGTTATGGTCAAGTTAATGGAAAGTTTGTGTCGATTTGACATGAGTTATTGTCGTTAATGTTGACGTAATATTAAGTTTATGAAAAGTTGAAATCAAGTTAATTTCAATTGAAAGTTGAATTAATGTCAATGTATTGTCAATTTAGTGATTAATGTGAAGTTAATGACAATTTGATATTGAGTTGATGTTAATTTGATTTTAAGGTGATGTCAAGTTCATTTTGAGTTAATGTCGGTTTAATGTTGAGTCAATGTTGAATATTTATTGAGTTAATGTTAAGTTGATGTTGAGTCAATGTTAGGTTGATTTCAAGTTAATGTTGAGTTGACGTTGAGTTAATGTTAAGTTAATTTCAAGTTGATGTTAAGAAACTGTTGAATTTATGTTGAGTTGATGTTAAGTGGATGTTAAGATGATGGTAAGTTAATGTTGAGTTAATATTGAGTTCATATTAAGTTAATGTTGAGTTAACGTGAAAATAATGATGTCATTTCAATATTGAAGTAGAATTGAATAATAATGATAATGATATCACCTTCATGTGATCAAATATGATTACCCTACTCTGGTCTCATAAACACTCATGACAAATAATATAAATATTTGTGGTCGTAGGAAAAATAGTGTACAAAACTCGTTGGAAAGTGCATTTCCTGCGCTCGTTTCGTTTCGTTTCCTCTCCGCTCTGCGGCTCGTGCTGAACGTCCACTCGCTCGAAATATGTCACTTTCCACACTAGTTATGTAATATACTATTACCATTTCACAAAATATAGGATCATGAACTCGTTCTGTCGCTCTCACTCTAGGAATTCGACGCTTGATATTCTCTCACATTACAAGCGAAAATGTTCATTACCTGCAATAAAATCCCTAATCCTATGATAAACCGAGAAAAATTACACCATTGCACTTTCGCCATATTTCAGACTTGGAAAATTGGATTTATGTTCCTTTCAGAATCAGAGCTCTGGGCGAATGATGCAACTAATTCACCTTCACCAGAGTGTGGAATAATTTCGAAATTCCGTGGTTAATTTCTCCTGTAGCTGACTGAAATAAATGGTCATTTGGGAAAGGTACGTTTGATATATCGTATTGTTATCACTTATTCAAAGTGTTCGGAGATTTCTGTGAATAAATCATCAGTGATGTTTGTAGCGGACATCCAACGAATATAACTTTCAGTAATGAATCGATAAGAGATAATAATTACAAATTCGCCTCACAGTCGGTAATTTTTCTAAATCATTAATTGAATGGTCATTAGTATACATGATCACTAGAGAATTTTTTCAGTTCACGCATATTATTTCTTCATTAAATTTCCTAGATCACATTCTTTTCAAATGAAGCTATCGTTGCGCATAAATGAAATGGAAAGAAATTTAAAATATTAACAAGCAATTCCAGAATGTCAAACTGACAGCAATAATTGCATGATGATCAAATCAAATGACAGTTCATGATGAATGAGTCTGTTGCTTTTTTTATCTTCATGATCAAGCAGATGAACAATTGCGAATTAATTTGTCAACGAAATAATAATATATTCTCTTTAATATTCTACCTAACCGTTTCGCGACCATTTTCAAGCTCCTCTGGACATAACGATGTTCAAAAAATTCACAAAAAGGACTAGGAAACACAGTTCTTTGCGCACACTGCTAGAAGGCGATGTCTCAAAGAATGCTGGTTCTGTGAAGTCGCTCAGACTCGCTATGTTCTTAGTTGCTGCTATCACCTCATATTTTGTTTTCGGTTCCAGACCTGACAGGGTGAAGGATTCTGCAAAGCAGTGAAAAAACAATCTAGTTATTCGTGGATCAATGCAAACAATTGAGAAAGAGATGATAAACCTAGAATCTCAAGACTAAGAGATTCTAGGGAAAGGACCCCGCACTTTTAGTACGTAAAATGGTTCTCGGTGAAATTTTCTGAATTTTCAGTATGTTGTAGAATTCGATGAACTGATTGAACCTGCAGAATCGTAAAGTTCTTTGATGAACAGATTCTGAGATACAGGGCGTTGAAGTTACAAATCGGTATTTTTCATTTAATTATTTTCTCGAAATTCAAAGATGCCAAGTACAATTTTTTCCGCTCATATCATCAACGAACCTTCATATTACTCAACATACTTCAGATGGTTCAGATAATGTAATTGTTTACAGAGTGAAACATATAAACATTTCATCAGTGATGTCTGAAAATTCGATGTAATAATGAAATATCGAAAAAATAATTTAGGCATGCAATATATAATTCTCATTCCATCATGAATCACAATTCATACATTTCATACAGGGTGATTTGAAAAATTGGTGACACCTAAGACCGATTAATTCATACACATCCTGTATATTCGAGTGAATTGTTAACCTCCCAAGATAGCTGATACCGTATGAACATGATTTCGTTGAGATATATAGGGTGATCATGAAGATTTTCGAAGATGAAAATGACAAAAAATCGTGTTTTTTGAAATCACCCTGTAATTCATGATTATCTCGGTGAAATTCCCTAATTATTTTTTAATATATTCATCATTCGCTCCTCAACGCTGTCCTGAAAATTCAGTTTCCTATCATGACGGGTGTCATAGTTATTGATTCAGGAACTTACCATTTGCATGAAGAGTTGAAGAGACCTGTTCACTTACATTCGCATAGTGGCCGATATTTTTCACAAATAGTGAAACGTGAGAATGTGGAGACGAAAATAAGTTTAGTATTCATATACATGGTGAACATTAGAAATTCAATAACAATAGCAGATATATGAATTTGATAATATTAATATAATGTACAGATAGGCGAATTTCGTTAGTATACAAGCTCTGCCAAAATGGGCCTTCATAGATCATTTATGTTACACTTGATCTCCACATTCTCACGTTTCACTATTTGTGAAAAATCTCGGCCACTTGTCGAATGTAAATGAACAAGTTTCTTCAAGTCTTCATAAATTGATGAACAATAAATTCCACAAAGGGAATATTCCAAGTTACAACACCCAATCTGAAATCAATCAGTAGCCGCGTGACAAGTTCAGTATTTTTTTGTCATTATGTCCCATACAACACCTTTTCATATTTATCGCTGCTATTTCGGAAACATCCAGTATAATAGGATTATTTATATAACACCATCATACGTATTGAATTATATCATTGGAATGTGATATGAATATGAATCTAATGATATTATAATAATTACTGATAACAAGCAAATATGAAAATGATGGAAACGCCTGATTCTGAGTGAAAAACAAATGTGAAAAAATCTGTCGATTCCAGGATTCAACTCTCCCTATTGGAAATGGAAGCGTGAAAGACCGAATTATTCTCCCATCTCAGGTATTGTTCGTTTTTCATTTTGGCAGAGCTTGTATACCAACGAAATTCGCCTAACTATCTGTACATTATATTAATATTATTAAATTCATATATCTACTATTGTTATTGAATTTCTCATGTTCACCCTGTATATGAATACTAAACTTATTTTCGTCTCCACATTCTCACGTTTCACTATTTTTTGTGTGTCTCTTCAACTCTTCATGCAAATGGTAAGTTCCTGAATTAATAACTATGACACCCGTCATGACAGGAAACTGAATTTTCAAGACAGCGTTGAGGAGCGAATGATGAATATATTAAAAAATAATTAGGGAATTTCACCGAGTCAATCATGAATAACAGGGTGATTTCAAAAAACACGATTTTTTGTCATTTTCATCATCGAAAATCTTCATGATCACCCTATATATCTCAACGAAATCATGTTCATACGGTATCAGCTATCTTGGGAGGTTAACAATTCAATCGAATATACAGGATGTGTATGAATTAATCGGTCTTAGGTGTCACCAATTTTTCAAATCACCCTGTATGTAATGTATGAATTGTGATTCATGATGGAATGAGAATAGTATATTGCATGTCTAAATTATTTTTTCGATATTTCATTATTACATCGAATTTTCAGACATCACTGAAATGTTTATATGTTTCACTCTGTAAACAATTACATTATCTGAATCATCTGAATTATGTTGAGTAATATGAAGGTTCGTTGATGATATGAGCGAAAAAAATTGTACTTGGCATCTCTGAATTTCGAGGAAATAATTAAATGAAAAATACCGATTTGTAACTTCAACGCCCTGTATCTCAGAATCTGTTCATCAAAGAACTTTACGATTCTGCAGGTTCAATCAGTTCATCGAATTCTACAACATTCTGAAAATTCAGAAAATTTCACCGAGAACCATTTTACGTACTAAAAGTGCGGGGTCCTTTCGTGAATCGATTGTCAGCTGATGCAAGACAGACTGTTTCGACTTGCCATAAGTCTCATCAGTTGCACTGGCCAGCTGACCTATCGATTCACGAAGGGTACCTCCATATATCAAACAAGTCGAAGCCCTGAGGGGGCAGAAGGACGATCTAGCCTTCATTTGATATATAGAGGTACCCTTCGTGAATCGATTGTCAGCTGGCCAGTGGAACTGATGAGACTTATGGCAAGTCGAAACAGTCTGTCTTGCATCAGCTGACAATCGATTCACGAAATTTTCCTAGAATCTCTTAGTCTTGAGATTCTAGGTTTATCACCATCTGTTAGTAGAACATTAAACCACTTTGAGAATTACAGGTGTTGCGATAGTCTACAGAATCTGACATGGATGTCTTTTCTGTAAGCATATAGACGTAGAGGTCTATATGCATGACTTAGTCGCAAGGTATGATTGATGAATCTACCTATACACCTTGCACTTGAGCCACTAGATGGCTATGAAGGCTAGATCGTCCTTCTGCCCCCTCAGGGCTTCGACGAGAAAGAGGTCAGTGATAACACATATTCCTCATTTCTTTGTAGTACCATTGTCGATCTAAACCTAGTGCGAGGTGGTATAATATTGTCTGTTCAGTGAATCGAAATATGTCTGTCTGTAAAGTGGCGCTGAAGACGAGAATGTGGAAAGAGCTCATTTGTTTATGTCAAAATAGACCATATTAGGTTGATATTAACTCCTTCTATTTTTCTTCAATATGTACTCAACCCCAGACGTCCTTTTCATCATTGACGTGACATTTGATACGAAGGCGATGAAGAAGTCTTTCTTGAGATTGAAATGTCGTAATCGTAAAATTATTTTCTGTCAGTTGTCATTAGATACATATTTTCTTTATTTTTCTTTTCAATGAACAGACAATATTATAGCTCCTGCCTACTAACTACCTAACTAGGTTGTCATCTAGAACGACAATGGTTGTACCATACGAATATGAATGAAACAGTTGGCGTCAAGAATAAAAGAACAAAGGCGAACTCACCCACTCTAGTAGTTGAATTCGTTAGAGGATCATCAAATGGAAGAAGATCATCTAGAATGAAAGACAAAATGGAATGTTATTATGTGCTTTTCAATTCTTGGTGATTCATCAAGAATGATGTCTCTCAGATGATAACATTGCCATGAGTTCTTTTGTAATCTAGGTAGAACAATTTTTTTTTTAGAAATTCGATTCAGAGTGTATGAAAGATTTCACTAGTGAGTATTTGAATTTGAAACAAGCTTTATTGTATTGAAAGTGTCTTGAAATGGCTTTTCAGAAACCATTTCAAATCATCTGAAATCCAAAGGTAGATTTGATTGCAGGTGACTTTGTATTGACTCCATTTCCAGGACGTTTGAAAACTTAAATAAGGAGTTAGTAGAATAACCAAGTCAGTTCTAGGTCGATATGGTCGGTGGCGGAAGTTTCCTGATCAAATTCCATCAATTTTATGTAGCAAACGGAGAAAGGCAAGAAAGATGAGAAAGGAAAATAAAAGTTTGTAACGAATCGTCATTACTTAATACTGGATTACAGGGTTCCTCAACGATTTTTCATCAATTTCCAATTCTGCGAGAAATTTTCACATTCATATTGAAGCAGTGAGACCAAGATGAGGTTGCACAGCATGAAGAAATCAGAAACAGGAGGAGATACTAATTCTGTCAAATTAGGAGATATTATTGGGATGATACCAATAGTTTTCTATGAATTTTGAAACTGCTCATAATTTTTGAGTTATATCTGAGGCAGTGAATTTTCCTAAATTAATTTTTATTTTTTCTATTTCATTATTAGAGATATATAAAGAAGCTGAAAATATTTTTTTGAAGCGACTTCTGATGGGATTCAACGTGTTTATATTGATTTTTCAGCGTGACGTTTCGTTTTCGTAGAACCATCTACAACTTCTCTCCAAATATGGTCCTGATCATGTGTTCACAAATTCTGATAGTTTTTTCACACTCTGAATTCAACCATCGAATGTGTTTCGGTCTAGTTTTAGCCATACGAAACGTCGCATAGTGAAAGTTGCTATAGAGAAGTATACTCAACTTTTTTTCGCATCTTTATTAATAACTTAAAAAAACTGAGGAGATTTTCCAAAATTTCACTGTACTATACAGGGTGAATCTGAACGTAAGGTTTTCATTCAACAGGGTGTATGTCTCGCCAAAAGGAGATTCACCCTGTGTAACTGAACAACTGGAAACAATTTTGAAAATGTTCGAAGGCCCCTCTGAATGCTCATTTTTTTTACATTCAATCGCATTCGTTTCTTCCCCCGTTTCCGAGATCTCCAAGCTAAGCAACCTCATCCCGGTCACATTGTATAGAAACATTTTCTTCTACTCTGATTGTCACGAAACAATTCATATGTCCGTTTATAATCGATATTCAGAACTTACCAACTTCATCAATGCACATCAAAGGTTTTCCGACAATGAGCATACACAAGGCCGTCTCAAACCCAAGATGAGGTCTTTGGGACGCACTATTTGACACAAGAAAAAAATCTAGAATTCGGTTGTGACAAAAAATATTCCCAGAAATCATTGTGGAAACTCAAGTATTCAACCGCGAAGGAAGTGAAAGTCTTATGAGAACTTCCCCAGCCCTCGAAACCGGAAAATCTGGGAACCACTCAAACTCTGAATTAGGAAAGGAAAAGGAACCGTTGCTATTAGAAAAACTGCTTGGGAAGATAGTGTTCAAATCGCTGTTTTGGATATCTAATTAGATCATTATAGAAAAAAGGAAGCCTCGATAATTCTGTGACAAAAATATTATGATTGAATTGATTATTAGACTATTTAAACCGTCTGTGAAGTGGTATGTTAGATCTCTTCAAATTAAACTGATTATTCAAACGATAGTCGAAGTTGTTCTGTAACTCATTGTTGATGTGTAAGTCTTTGAAGAATTTTTTCTACAAACGCTTAACAAAGTAGCCTTTGACGCTTCCAAATTCCAGCACAAAGTTGACGTTTTCCCAGAAATGTCATTCTTTGACAGCATTTGCGCTCGTGAGCGGAAATATTGAAAAAACGCTCGCACATCTCTGTAACCTATACTTATCTATTCTTGAAAACCCCCAATTCTATCATGATGGAAAAAAGTGACAGTGAATCATCAAACACACCTCCTGATATAGCATAAAGCGCAGGATTTTGAATCTCTCACCGAAGAAATCAAGGAAGAAATATGAATTACAATATGATACATTCATAAATTGGTGCCACTCCGAGATGGTGAATATTGTGTTCAGAAAACGTTTAACTGGCTTATTTTGGTGAAAAATCAAAGACTTTGAAGTCATTAACTCATTGGTCTATCGCATTTCTCAATAAACAAGCTATTGGATATAAAGCGAGAAAAATCCAAAACATTCACCGCTGAAGATATATACCAACAAACTTCTACAAGAAGGTCCCGATGAAGCATATCTGTTGAAAACGATGAGTTATACTTTATATTTAAACTCTTTGTTGTCATTAGAAAGACATTGTATCTTTATTTTATTGCATCAATGAGTAATGTTCAATTTGATTGCAGAGTTTATCGTACTATGGCTCAGAGGTCTGAAGCTCAGGTTGCCACAATGGTGGTCCAGTTTCAATTCTCGGTTGGCCCGACATTTTTTTCTGGCTTGTCAGTTATTTCAATTTTTTTTGTTTCCTTTGGACATATGGGATAATATGGATAAGAACTTTTTCAACTATTTCAATCGCTCATACTTTCAGGGTAGTTATTTCCAAAAGCTGCGTTAGTAGAAAAAATCTTGTGTGTATTTCGAGCACAAAGTGTTATTGCCGCTCTCCAAAGATTACCGCGCTCCGCTCCGCATCGCGCGGTAACTTTCTTTGTCGAGCGGCAATCTATCACTTTGCGCTCTAAATACACGAATAGCTATAGTCTATTGAAATGGTTGGAACTGGTTTCAAGCATACCTTCTGTTATATTCACATTCACATCCAAGGACCGCCACTCCTCACTATCAGTCCTCCTGTACTGGATGACAAGCCAAGTGGGGTGCATACCCTCGTCAAAGTCTTCTTCGGTCACATCTGGCAACTCCACGTTCAGGATCAGCGAATCTGCTGTGCTGTTCTCCAGGGTCAGATTTACAGGCCTATCTGGCTTTCTGCCGATGCGGAGGTTGATGGTTTTGTCGAGTTTGCCGTGGGCGTTGGTCGCTACGCACTGGTATTCGCCTTCGGTGTTCTCTGTCATGCGCAACTAGACAAAATATTAGAAAAATTTGTTTATATTCAACTAGTAGAATACATTGAACCAAATAATAATGATGAAAATCACTCTGGTTTCAGGAAGAAACTCAGTTGTGAAAAAGCAATTCAGTATGTCATTGACGATTGGAAGAATTTGTTGGATTGTGAATATGCTGTACTAGCGGTTCTTCTTTATCCGCAATAAAGAGCTCTTGAAACTATTGATAAGAAAAGGTTAATTGAAAAACTGAAGAAAAATGGGTTGACTGGGAGTGTTCTCATGAGGTTCAATAGTTATTAGCAAAATAAGAGACAGAGAAGAAAACTTGATTTTGATGGCTTCTCATCTGCAGATACGGTGAATGATTTTGGTGTACCCCAAGGCAGTATATTAGAGCCATTAATTTTCGTGTTGTACATCAACGATATTATGAATCTGGGCATTAACATCAATTTTCATCTTTTTGCGGACGATACACTAATATATGTTTTTCCACGTGATCTACATTACTTAGTATCTGTAATACCATCTGCTTCGGATAAGATTTTCAACTATACATGCCACATTTACTGAAAATCAATGTATCAAGAACTAAAATTATGTTGATCGTGAAGGAAGCAATACAACAAGATTTAGAAATAAGTAACTATTACTTGAAGATTGGAGATGATTGTATCGAAGAAGTTGAGAAATTCGAATATTTAGGAACAATTCCGAGAACATGTGAACTATATAATGTCAAAAATGAATTATGGAATATTTTATTTGTCTAGATGTTCACACTACCTCTCATTTTTCTTCAAGAAAATTGTTTAAAATACCCAGATTCTTCAACACCTCAAGTTCTGTTCAACAATTCTTTATTTTCTCGAGTCGACCACGATATGGAGAGACCTGTTTGTGAGAAAACTAGCTAGCAGAGAACATAGCTGGGGAGGCAAAACATGTGATGGAAGCTTGGCGAGGAGTCCGTGGTGCCAGACTCGATGGAATGCCTTGCAGATATCAAGTGCCACGGCTAAGGTTTCACCATATTCTTCAATAGATTGCTGCCATATATGTGAGACGTAAACGAGCAGGTCACCAGTTGATCTCTGATGACGGAAGCCATATTGCCTACCGTTGATGATAGCTGAATGTTCCAGGTATTGCATGAGCTGGATGTTGATAGCTTCCTCCATTATCTTTGAAATAATAGATAGCAGTGAACAAGTTTTCAACTTTTTTGATCATGTTTATATTATGGAAAAATGTTAATCATCAGAAATATAGTGTGCTGACATGTATGTTATATTGAAAATGAATGAATAGATTGAATAAAACAATGAATAAGTTCAATTGTGAATGAATAATTATTATTTCATGACATATATTTCAAACCCGCTGACAAAATGGAAAAAAAAATAGACAGTTATGTCCAGCGTTATTCAGAAAAAAAAAACATCGGATTTTGAATGGAATTTTCCAAACTCACGCAATCTCGGTTAATTGATTCTATTCACCTGCAAAATAGGTTTATGAGAGTTGATTTTGTGTCCTCGTCCGCCCTTGTGCTTCCTATACCATTCGAATGTTGGTGGAGGTTCAGCCCTCACTGCGCATGTCAGATTGACAGTTTCGTCTATGAACCCGTATATTTCATCGTCTTGGGCATATACTGTGCCATCGGCAACTTCTTCAGGTACTGGAGCGTCTGCAAGAAAATAATAAGCGAGTTATAGTATAGGTGCATTAAACAAAAAAATTATACTCAATATAGCCAAAACTTATATATTAAAAAAATTGGTTTTACAAGGCTGTTAAAATCCTGCCACAAAATAAGGACTCAAAAAATCAGGTAATGTGCTAGTAAATTAGTTTTGGCATTTATCTTGAAACATATACAGATTTCGAAGAAACAGAAGGTATCAAAAAGTATCCAATTCGAAGGCAGAATCTGAATTGATAATTCGTAGAAAACAGAGGCGGTACGCAAAAAAGTTCGAGAGAGTTAACTCAGGTACGACCCCCAGAAGTGTATCATCCGGTAGATATTCGAAAATGCTCGATTGCCCCAAATATTGCGTTTCCGAAGTGTGATAGGTGTACCAGATCTCAATCCATTATTCCAGAAATTGTAGGAGGACATTGGAAAACATGAAAAAAAATCTTAAGTTTTCAGACCCTGTATATCGGAAACGAAGCTCCCACGCATATATGTTCACATAGAATTTTCATATGAAAAAAATGTTTTCTCTCAGCTGTTGAACTCCTGCTAAAAAAAAATGACTCACCCTGTACATCCAGAACGCAACGTGGAATTGATATATTCGCTCATAACACAAAGTGGAAAAATCGAAAAACATGTAACATTGATTTGATTTCAGTTTGATGATTACCATGCTTAATCTAAGAGTGCCCTAATAAAGGTGTTCCGCATTTCGCAATTCTCCATTTTTATTAGTTAATTTTTCATAATATACCAGTTATTTTTTATTCCATAAGTGTGTAATAGTTATTTATGCAACAATTGCAAACAGTGAATGCAATAAACAATTTTTGCACGAGTTGCATACAAATTTTTGTCTACATTCTTGCAAAAAGCAAAAAATGATTTATTGAGGTGCGGCACTAGGTGTAGGAAAATGAAAAACGCAACTTGAATACTTTATCATTAATATCGATTCGCATTGAAACAGGAACTAATACGTTACGAACAATTTAACTCAAACTTTATTTTTACTCTCAATGTTGAAAGTGAATGAACAATTGGTGCAATTTTGAGTTTGTTTGCATGTGACTCCTTTACGTATCCCTCCGCTACTGTCAACGATTTCCATCCGCCGTGTCGTTTGAGCTCTAGTATATCTAGTAGAATGACAGATGAGTGCAATAAAAACTTTATTGCACTAAGTGTAATAAAGAACTTCTTTTTCCACTAAATATAGGTCAATAAAGTTCTGCTTTTTGCATGAATGTAGAAAAACATTTTTTCCTCCATAACAGTGATACTATGTAACCTTATGCTGATGATGAAGCTCTCAAGCTTCGAAACATGTCCCATTGAATTGCTTACATTAAAGTATTGTTTTGGTGGAGTAGACTGTAAGAATTTCGCCCTGTCCTATGATATTATTAAAACAGATGAAAAAATGAACCAAGCTTTATCAAATAAGACTTTGCACAATGACGCTAGCTCCTGAGCTAATGATTCGACTATGATTCATTCCTCAATTCAGTGACTACTATACAGGGTGAGTCATAAAGAACTGTGCATACTCCTACCTTGAATAGAGGCTCCTGAAGAAAATACCTAATGTCCATCAGGAAGTTTATTCTTCTCCACTTCTTTTCCAATATATAGGGTGAATTATGTGATTTGGCAAGAAATCTTCTGGTCAGAACTTTCGAACAGCTCCTTCGATTCGTCTGATTTTTTAATGGAATATTTCGCTAATACTCTCTAATCGACTGACTTATTCAGAATCGGCAAATTCTAGGACCGTTCTTGAAAAATTTTGATAATTTAGTTAATAGCAAAAAGTTCATCCTTTATCGTTTTTGTAAACTGGGACAGGGAATTTTCAAAGGTCACAAACAAACATCAGAAATAGAATATATCAAATTTTCCTCACACTTCAACTTCAGTTCGAAAAAAAGTATGAATTTTATGGAACAACGAGAATTCGGCAAAAAATGTATTTATCTGGAGATCAATACTGATTCGAAGAAGATCTACAGGGTGATTATTACCCTCCACAGAAAATGAAATGACGAAATCCAGGCCTGGAAATGAAAGAACATGTTGATCTTCATTGCGCTAAAGCATTGATAATGTGAGTCACACACAATTTGTGTAATTTATGATTTGCGAAGTAATTATTATCGAATGGATGGATTTGTTTTGAATTTTTCGTTTTTGCTTGAAATTTATCGTTTTTTGAAAAATTCAGTGAAAGTGTGAGGAGAATTTTGAATATTTTATTTTTGATGCTTGTTTGTGTGCTTTGGAAATTCCCTGTCACAGTTTACAAAAACCATATTCAGGATGAACTTTCTGATAAAAACTGAACTATCGAAATTTTTCAAAAGCGGTCCAGGATTTTTTCGATTCGAAAATGTCACTCAATTAGGGTTCAGTAGAGAGATATTCCATGACAAAAATCAGACGAATCGGAGGACCTGTTGAGAAGTTATGCCCAAAAGATGTTTTTGTTAAATCTCATGAATCACCCTTTATAGTGGTAGAGAACAGAAGAAGAGACTTCCTGACAGACATTCGGTATTTCTGTCAGGGACCTCTATTCGTGGTAGGAGTATGTACAGTTCCTTATGACTCACCCTGTATACCAGAACTTCGACGTATTGCTTGATGCTTGTACTTATGCAGTAACTCGAATACTACACAGAACAGAACATGAAGTACTCGGTACATGTCGCTCGTTTATTGGTGAACATGGTAAGCCGTTTTGCGACGTACACAGTTCTGCAATTATTAGTTGGCAGTTCATTCGAATTCCACGGACCATTCATAATACGCTCGGCATCCATGTAGCGTGAATTATTATTACATCAAAATGGAAGGGACGAAAGCATGATGTATTATTAGCAGCTCCTCAGGAACAACCCTGTGGAGTGATGTTATTTAGGAAATTCTCATTGATACGAGAGGAAAATATTCCCCAACTTCCATTGTTTGTTCAATTGTTTTCATCAGGAAAACTGTAATGAGCAAGCATTTATTCCTCTCGTTTGAATGATCATTCAAAGAGACGGTAATTGGTCTAGTAGTGGAGGTAGGTATTTACTTTGCAGGATCAATAACATGTTATTCGCTTCATTGAAGCTTCAACTGAGTTGATTCAGCCTATTCAGATAACTATATCTCATTAATTACAATTTAGGATCGATGAAGGTATCCCAATAGATGTTTACCATATAATCGAATTTTCTTCAAGCTATTTTCTTTTTTTTTTGAATAATTGATCGACTGTATATATTATGATATAATAGGAAATATCGGAGAGTTGCCAATCAAAAAGCTACAAGCAAACTAGTCAAACTACTTTATTGCTATGCCAAGCTTTCGAAATTTTTAATTTTTTTCTTCAAAACTGAAACAATATATTGTATATGAAACATTTTGTCACAAATCAATTCAACAAAAACAAGAACTTACTTGCAATACAAGTTAAAAGGTATAAATTGGAATAATAATGAGTTCAAAATTAGATTCCAATATGAAAATTGCTCAGAGAATAATTATAAAACCTTCCAAATCAATATAAACAAATCTCAAACAAGATAATCCTATCTGGAATAGATCATGTGTAGTTTATTGCATTCATTCTGATGATTGTAATGTGAAATATACTGGTCAAACTACTCAGAATCTCAAATCTAGGATATCTGGCCATAAAAGTGATTGCAGACTTCTCAAAAGTAATTGTGGACTCGCTGAACATGTCATCACTATAATGTTGCTCATATGAAATTCGAAGGAACAAAACTTTAACAAAAAGACTGTTTTTAAGGATGGTTAAAATCAATAATGAGAAATACACTATGAATAAGAAAACAGATATTGATAATCTCAGTCAGATATATTCTTTTTTACAATCTTTTGTTCATGATGATATTCAAAATGACTCTACCTCATAAGATATTCAACAACAATCTAATTTTGAAATTTCATTTCTTCCGGTATATAAATTATATGACTTTTGTCACTGTCCTATTAATTTTTATGTCTACATCATCTATATTTTCTTAAACTCATTATTATTCCAATTTATACCTTTAAACTCGCATTGCAAGTAATATTTCCTACTATATTATATTTTCTTTTTCTTCAATATCACGACATATCGGCGCCTTAGTGATGCATATCTTAGGAAATCTCGATATTTCAAGATTTTTTTTTCAATTTTGAGGTTTCCTCTCAGATCAGAACAAAAATGAGGAAGTGATCTATACCTAACGTTTTCTCAAAATCAGATATTCATAACTATTTGGTTAAACCCTCTTTGGATCAAATTCAATGGAGATAATAATAATAATAATAATAATAATAATTTTTATTTTCTGTTAAATGTATAACATGAAACAGTAAAGTACGTCAAAAAAAAAAGCAAAAATATAACAAACAAACAATGCGACAGCATCACAATTAAATACAATATATTCATCACGTTACTAACATTACATAGAATTACATAAAATACTCATCCAGCGTATAGCAGGCCTTTTGAATTAGCTGTTGTTTAAGCCTCTTTTTAAATATATTCAAGTTTTTGGAGCTCTTAAGTTGTTCATCAAGAGAGTTATATAGCTTACAACCAGTATAATGAAAACTTTTCTGGTACAACGTAGTCCGGTGTCTCTCAGGTTGGAGGTGGCTTTTAAAGCGTGTATTATGATCGTGCTTCTCAACAGTATTCAAAAACATGTTTTTATTTTTATAAACGTATAAACAAACTTCTAGTATGTATAAACTAACTACGGTTAGGATGTTGGAAGTTCTGAAATATGCTCTGCAACTTGTTCTCATATCGACACTAGCAAGAATTCGAATTGCATACTTCTGAAGAACCAGTACTCTATTCACATGAGCACAATTGCCCCAATTCAAAATCCCGTACTTTATGTGGGAATGGAAATTGGCATAGTACAACGAGAGTAGTATGTGCCGACTGCAGTGGTTCTTCATAAATT